AGAAATGCACTCTACATAGCGTCACAAGAATTAGAGGTGTGACATTGGATGGGGTTTAGATTGGATATATTGCACTCAACTAATACCTACAAGTAATACAGCACTATCACTGATCTACACAATTTACAGTTTACTGTTACATGCCAGGGTTCTCAATTTTCTCTAGCTGTATCCTGACAGTGGATTTCAACACAGTAATTGTACCAGTCTCACTGTAACAGCAGCACACATGAAGTCTGCTTTTCACAGCCCAATTTCTTTTTTGCCATCTCTTCTCGAGCATCCTTGACTGCCATCTCAAGACACTCCCTCAATTATTCTTCAGCTGGCCCAGGATCCTTGTTACATGTGTATAACCTTGGGGCGGATGGAACAGACAAAACTCTTTCCATCGTTATAGCTCAACAATACCTCTACTGTTGCTTGTTTATTCGTTGCCACAGGAACTTGCTTACCGAGCCATTGCCTAGCAACGGACGTCTCCTCTGGCTCAACTATTCCAGCCATCAGGTGTCATGTCACAATAATAATTTAAAACTGCAGATGTCAAATTCTTTCTGCTCCCCAAGCAGAATGTAAACTGAATAAATAACAATCATACAGCAGTGAATGCCAATTTCTCATTTCTGAAACTCGTAATGAAGAAGATTACAAACTAGCATTTACCCACCTCTGTGAATGTCACTGAATCACTAGCCATGAGAATATGCTGAACTCTGTTGTGGAAATGCTGCATGGATTCTTCATCAACACGTATGAAACACTGGGCTGTTCTCTCTTTCGATTCATTCTCGAGATTCCACGCACCATCCCGACGTGTGAATTCCTCATGAGTAGTTCGACACTAAAAACCACAGTATATCATAACCATGGAGAGGTAAAAGTTCAATATGTTTCCTTACTGCAGTGCTTTAAATATCACCACCAACCCACAATAATTAATGTTAAAACTTAATGATAGCATTCTACATATTCAAGACTGAAAGCAAAATCTGCTCTTAAATGCAGGATGGCAAATTTTACTGTCAGATGTACCTTGGGAAGAATGCGGCATTCAAATCCGCTCATGTTGAACAGTAAATTTGGATTGTCCTTAGAGTAGACGCTGACAAAGCTGTTTTCCCACTGAATAGTTGTGGAATGTGGAAGTCTGTTCTTGATGTACAAGAACACAGCACGGCCACTGATGAAGAAAAAATGGCACATGAACATGATTAATGTTGCAGTGAAATAAGTACTTCTTGAGAAGTGTTTTTCTAAATATTACTAACTTCATTCAACTAACGCCTTCCTGAAACTACCAATTCCCAAAGTCATCCACAAATAGTCGTTATTATAAGATTCATATTCATGCCAAGTCTAAATGTTTCGGATGATATTAACAACAAACACGGGCTCGTTCTGGACACTGTGCACTGTTTTGAGTTCCTGATTTCTGCAGATTTGACATAATGCATTTCCTATTGTCCCTCTAAATTGAATTCTTTTAGTCAAGACAATAATGAAATTACTCATATTAAAGAAAACATGCATCTCTAAGTTAAATTGTCCCTGTGCTTAACAAATTAAGCACTACGCCATGAAGACTTATGGGAGATTGGCTGTATAGTTCCACGTTTTCTTGACCTCGGCACTAGTTGAAGTTGAGTGGACACCTTCATGCCCCGCCAGCTTTACCCCTGGGAAAGAGCCCTTGGTATGGTAAAAGTAAAGCTGTCCCTGTAACAGGCCTTGGAAGCCCATACGGTTGAGATATGTTGAGGCTCGCACATTTTCTAAATAATCGGCTCATAGATGGTGTAGTTGTCAGCCTGACATATTGGCGGCTCTTTACCCCCCAGGAAGATTCCTGGTACTCAGTTCTGTTAGATGCTGAGTAAACACCAGGGCCACAGCGCAACTGGAAGGATTACATCAATTGAAAAATTCAATAACCTCATTGAGAACCGAAACCAAGACCTTCCAGCTTGTAGCACAGTGCCTCATTCAACTATGCTACAGCATAACCCCAGTATGTATGTAGCTAAATGAATAACACTGAAATTAACCAAACCACACATTCTCCATTGAAAACTTTAGGCTGTGAAAAGTATAGAGTAACAAAATTTTGAAATATACAACCACTCTTGGTAGCTCAACTACAGTGTAAGTCAGGATACCCATATATGACAAGAAACCAGTAAACCATATTATGTGCTCTGTCCAAAAAGAAACTGAACTTGTTAAATAGGGCGCAAATAAGCCAACACAGGTGACTTGTGACAGTAGCACTGTGTGGCAGTGACCTTAAGCTTCAACCTGACACCTGCCCGATTATGCCACATCAATTCGTCATCGAGTACAAGTGGCAGAGTGAACCTGTCTCCTGTGCCTTTTGCGATTTTTGCAAGTTGAAACAGGAAGGACCTAGAAGACCAACATGTTTGCGTGAAATTCTGCTTCAAATTGGCAAAAACTTTAACAGAGACTTTTCAAATGTTGAAGCAAGTTTTACATAATGTTACAAATGGTACCAACATTTCAAATTGGGCAGAATGTCCACCAAAGATGATCCGAAACCTGGGCAGCCTTCCGCATCAATGGACAATGATCATGTTGAGAGTGTGTGTGCTGTGATTCAAGAAAACCAACGCCTAACTGTCCTCAAAGTTTCTGAAGAAGCAGGCATCAGTAAAAGTCTGTGCCACACAATTTTGACTGAGAAACTGGAAATTCATGTTGCTGCAAAATTTGTGCCACGTTTTTCGACAGATGAGCCAAAAGCGAACCATGTCACAGTCAGTCAGGAGTTCTTTAATCGTTCAAATGCTGATGAAAACTTTCTAAAAAATGTCATAACCGGTGACAAAACGTGGGTGTATGGGTAAAATATCGAAGCAAAAGCTCAAACCTCGCAGTGGCCGGGAAAACCGTAGCTGTGACCAAAAAAAGACACGTGAGAGTCGATCAAATGTGAAGGTGTTGTTGATGGTTTTTCTTATGGGAAGTGCATTGTTCATCATGAGTTTCTTCCACGTGGCCAGACAGTTAATGGACAATTTTACTTGTAGGTCATGAAGTGTCTGAGGGAGGCAGAGTGAAAGAAGAGACCTGAGGGGTGGAGAAATGAGACCTGGATGCTGCACCATAACGCACCTGCTCACACGTTGCTCATCATCCATGATTATTTTGGTGAAGCACAAGATGACTGTCATCCCCCAACAGCCCTACTCTCCAGACTTTTTTTTGTTGTTCCCAAAGTTGAAATCCACTCTGAAAGGTTGCCGATTTCAGATAGAAGAGCTAGAAAAAAATTCACTATGGGACCTTCACGCTATCCCGCAAAACGCGTTTCAGAACGGGGAAAAACGTTGGAAGTGGTGTATAGACAGTGGAGGGGAGTACTCTGAAGGATACAAGTCTTATTAAGTTTTAAGCTTATCAATAAATGTTTTAAAAAGAAAGTTCGGTTTCTTTTCGGACAGACCATGTATGCTTCCACAAGCCCTGGATAATTCTTTTCTACTCACAGATTCACATCATGCTTCACAAGCCTCATTCTGGCATCTCGTGGCCAACACTTCTTGTTATTGTAGCCAACAATGTTTTCATGGTTTGGGTTTGGATGCTCTGTCAGGTACCTCAGAATGAAAGAACGTGCCTCCTTAGCAGTCAACCTGTGCATTCAAATGTCTTTAAATAAACTGTT